GTTGTTCAATCCTGAGTTTATCACTTTCATCTCATAATAGATTTTTCCTGGACCTAACTATCTTATGAATCAGTGGTACTGACAGAACCCAATTTATGATGTACAACATTGACTACATGGTTTCTTGATGTACCAAGGTCAAGCATTTCATCTCTACCAGGAGTATAATTTTCCTCTGTGGAGGGCAGAGAGTTTCTGTTGTGATTTTCCTTGCCATAAATTCATGGTGGCCTCTCTTTCCACCTCTGGTACTAATGCTATAGTATCTGCTAGGTCTTCTGGTCCAAGCAGGTAGTCTATTGCATCATGAACTGGTCCTTGTGTGGAGTGCTTTCACATCTGGGTTCCAAGCACAGATAACAAAACAGTATGCCTTATCAGGAAATATGCTGCCTAGACAACTGAAGAGGCCTATAACATATACCGCTTCTTCTGTATGGTGATAGGTACAAATGCATTAATTTGTGCTTTATTTTGGATAGGACATTTCAGCATGTTCCTGACCACAGGCTCCTAAAAATATTACTGATATAATAAGACTACCAAATTTCATAGGTTTATTTCTATCTCCTCTGAAGGAACATATGACTTATGAAGGCCTCCAAAATGATACACTTGTTCATTTCAAGAAGTGGGGTAAGCCTAAAGAGTCCATGGTTTCTTATACAATATTATGAAAGTAGATGAGAGAACTCTGGGGGTAAACTGTAAATTTATGCTCTTGTCTGTTCTAGGTGAATGTATTACTTGTGTATTTCTTTCTTAACAAAGAAAGGGAATGTGTACTGATGAGTCAAAACTAACATACCATACACCTAATATTGTGTTACTATATTGAAAGATACTACATCTGGCATGGCAACTAAAATTAGGGCCACTACTTGTGTTTGTGCAAATCTACTGTTAATTCTCCAGGATCCATAGAGATTTTGCAAATGTCAAAAAAAGGTAAATACAATGGAGATATGATGAGAATCACCACACCCACATTCTTTACAAGTATATGAATAGCACTAATTTCTGACATTCCCCTAGGATAACTTATTGTTTTAACTTTTTTGACTTGGGAGAAAAGGACAGGAGGGGAGAGGCTTCTACTTGGACTGTGCTTCTACAATAACTTTTACTCAAATGATCCTGTGTGAGCACCTGCCAACTCCTAATGACTATTTCCAATACATTCAGAGAGGAGAGAAATAACATAATTCCATTGATTACCTATCCACTGTATTCCTGACTTTAACAGGGGGTCATACCATAATGACAACTTTAGATTTCTAGGTAACAATATTAACATAGAATTCATGTCCAACATTCCTTAATGTTTGGATATTTCCCTTTTCCCTGCAAACAATTACTGGAATAAATGTCCAAAAGTCCCTTTGGAAAAAGACTAGAGGATACTATGTGCACTTGCTATTCTGTTGTCAAATACTTCCATTAGGACCTGGACCCTTCTGTCAATGCAATGTATGTTCAAAAAAGAGCTCAGGTACATTGAAGAAGGGATTGTAACGTTTTATTGTGACAACTTTATTCAACTTCTGAATTATCCACTCCTGATTTATTTTGATGATATAAATAAAGTCAGAATCTATTTCATTCCTAGGGTCTTATTAATCATCTTTATTACTTTCTGGAGTGAGGGGCTCCTTAATGCCCTTCAGTACTATAATTGGGTCTACCTGGCTTTTGAAGATGAAGCTGTGCATTCATGCCTGTTCTGTTTCGGGCTATCATTCACATGGTTATGTGTGCATTGAATTTTATATTGTCTCTCCTACCATCAGTATAGCTCTCCCTAAAAGAGGCCCCAGTAAATTTCTTAGTGATGTGAATCTCCCTGTTACCAGTACAGCAAATATGGCATCTCCACAATATTTAGTGTGGGACATTGTTTTTTTCTATGCTTTTTAGAGATGTGCTAATAGAGAATTTACATCATCTCCTAGGGGTCTTATTAGGAAATTAAATTATGTATCCTACAAACATGCTCCCAAATTAATACTCTTTTTTACTCAAATTTTGTTTTGACCACTTTGTCAAGAACACCTTTGGAACCAGCATGACCACTTAGAGATTGCCCACGTAAGGCAGACATGCCTGAACTTTCATATTTCCAGATCAATCAGCCATTCGCTGTGAACACTCCCAGAAAAGCTTGTGCTCTTTGGCAAAACATGTCTTTGAAGCTAAGCCTGTCTCTGAAGAAATGATCATAAAGGCTGTCTATGAGCACCTGGACCAACCAATTGTTCATTGAATAGTATTTATAATAAAGATTTAGTTTTTGTTATGCAAAAATTTTCTAGTAAAATCATCTTCATTTTTTTTCTCCTGATCCATGACCTTCTCCATGAATGTTTTAGTTTAAAATTTATTACATCAAGGCTGCAGGTGTAACTCAGGGATAGAGCATATACTTAGCATAAGCAAGGCCCCAGATTTGATATCTAGCACCAAAAATAAATAAAATTAATTAATTAATCTCATAGTATAGAAGTAGTAACTTTAATAATAAAAATGTTGTAGAGTAGAAAAACTACCAGGTCAGAAGAATGGTGTAATTTTTTCTGTAAACCAACTTTTACCTACTCTGTCTGAACCTTTTATCTTCTTCCTCTCTGGTAGATTAAACATGGTCACACATTTGAATGATGGGATATTTTCTTCTACTGGAACTTGGAATGATCTGTGACTTAAAGAATATGGTAAAAGTGAGACACTGACAGTTTGGGTTCTAGGTTTTAGGAGGAAGTTTGTCAATTTCCACCTGGGTCTCATGGAGCATCAGATCCATGTAAGTCTGACTGACCTCTGAAGAGGTCATAAGAAAATACATACAGAAGAAGAATAGCCCAAATTAGCTCAGTCTTTTAGCCATCTCTACCAAGTCACTACACAAATAAGCTATCTTGGCTCTACAAAGCCAACACAGTTGCCAGCTGAATACCATCAAGTGACCCTAGTAGTGATATGTAGAAGAAAAGAATCAGTCAGCTAAGCATTGCTCAAATTCTAAACCCACAAATTCATGAAATATGATAAAAAAATTTTGTTCTCTTAAGCCACTACATTTGGGGTTTAGTTTGTTATATAGCAATGTGTAGCCTGGTTGGCTGTGTCAGCCACAGAACTTACTAAAGTATTTTCATCATAGACAATTGCTAAGTGTTTGATTAGTATTTATTTTACCTGTCATTTACTCACATTCACTATGTTTTAGCAGCATGACTCTGCATATGTTGTCACATTTAGTCATTCAGTTACAAAGCAGGGCTGATCAATTATCAGTTGTCTCTCAGCAACAAATACATCTACACCCTATGATGCTGGATTTGGGAATCAGGCAATTATATTTTCAGATTCATTCCCTAGTTTAATTCCACTTAGATTCTACCATTAGAAAGTACTAAAGGAATACTGCAAGGAAAGAGAAGAAAATAATGTCCTTTCATTTTTGCTATTCCTGGCAGCATCATTTCAACAACAACAACTGTCTGCAGTCTCAAGAATCTGAATTTCTCCTCTTCCAGAATCAGTCTCAGCACACTTTCTTAATAGAACCTGAGGATGCAGTTACCCTATGCCATCTCCTCATTGCACCAACCCTAGAGGGACCCTGTCCAAACTCCAGAGTTGTTTTACAAATTTCCTTCAAGCCATTCAAAAATGAAATAAATGATGCTTACAGATAAAGTTGTAATTGTCTCTTTTTTCCAATGTGATCTCCTGCTCTCTGAGGAATTCCATCCATAATATTTTTAATTATCCTTTATTTGATAGCAACCTTTTAAGTTTATTTTTTGAATTTTTATCAAAGAGTTATTAACTCAGAATTCTATTAAAAAATTTATAGTAAAGCATTGTGTATTTAATTACTTAAATAAAAACATTGAGTCCATAGTTTTCCTTGACATCATTTTAAACTATCATTGTTAATATATAAAGATAGTTTCTTTTATCTGATATATAGAATTCAATTGTGTGAATACACCACTATTCATTCATTGTGCTGATTTTTGTTTTAAAAGCACTTTTAGGATTTGTCACTGGTACACAGAAATGCCTTTGATTTATGAGTGTTGATTTTATAACCTCTACTTTGCTGAATTCATTTACTAGTTCTAAAGTTTTCTGGTGGAACTTTTAGGGTCTTCTAGGTATAAAATCATATCATCAGCAAATAGTAACAATTTGAATTCTTCTTTTCCTATGTGTATCCCTTTAATTTCTTTTATTGTCTAATTACTCTGGCTAGTGTTTCAAGAATTATGTTGAACAGAAGTGGTGAAAGAGAGCATCCCTGTCTTGTTCCAGTTTTTAGAGGGAATGCCTTCAATTTTCCTCCATTTAGAATGATGTTGGTCTGGGGCTTAGCATAGATAGCCTTTATGATGTTGAGATATGTTTCTGTTATCCCCAGTTTTTCTAGTGTTTTGAACATAAAGGGTTGCTGTATGTTGTCAAATGCTTTTTCTGTGTTATTGAAATGATCATATAATTCTTATCTTTAAGTCTATTGATGTGGTGATGTACAAATCAATCAACATATACATGAAAAATGTTCATCATCACTAGCAATTAGAGAAATGCAAATTAAAACCACTCTAAGATTTCATCTCACTCCAGTCAGAATGGCAGCTAGTATGCACACAAACAACAAGAAGTGTTGGTAAGGATGTGGGGGAAAAGGTATACTCATACATTGCTGATGGGACTGCAAATTGGTGCAGCCAATATGGAAAGCAATACGAAGATTTCTTGGATAATTGGGAATGGAACCACCATTTGACCCTGCTATCTCTCTCTCCTCAGTCTATACCCAAAGGACTTAAAAACAGTATATTACTGGGACACAGCCACATCAATGTTTATAGAGCACAATTCACAATAGCTAAACTGTGGAACCAACATAGATGCCCTTCAATAGATGAGTGGATTTTAAAAATGTGGCATATATGCACAATGGAATATTATTCAGGATAAAAGAGAGTAAAATCATGGCATTTGCAGGTAAATGAATGGCGTTAGAGAAGATAATGCTAAGTAAAGTTAGTCAATCCTAAAAAACAAATGCCGAATATATTCTTTGATATAAGGAGGCTGATTCATAGTGGGATAGAGAGCAGGAGCATGGGAGGAATAGACAAACTCTAGATAGGGCAGAGGGGTGGGAGGGAAAGGGAGGGGGCATGGGGTTATTAATGATGGTGAAATATGATGATCATTATTATCCAAACTACATGTATAAAGACACAATCGGTATGAGAATATACTGTGTATACAACCAGAGATATGAAAAATTGTGCTCTATATGTGTAATAAGAAATGTAATGCATTCTGCTGTCATATATATAAACAAAAATAAATAATTTTTTAAAAAAATTGATTTTAATCACTTGCTGGGAGAAAAATATCACTTTTTTGAGATCAAATTTACCATGCAACTCAGACCCTGAAAGCTAGAAGATCCTGGAAACACATATATCAAGCTCTGAAAGAAAATGGGTGCCAACCCAGAGTCTTGTATCCAGCAAAATTAAGCTTTACATTTCAAGATGAAATAAAATCCTTCATGGTAAACAAAAGTTAAGAGAATTTATAGCTAGAAAACCGGCACTACAAAACATCCTTGGCAAACTATTCCATGAAGAGGAAATACAAAAAACAATGATAAAATGAGCAGAGGAAGGTAGTACCCTAAAGGAAAAACTAATCAAAGAAGAAAATCAAGTCAAGTTAGATAACAAAAATTGCTGCGCCCCTCCCCTGACTCAGGCAATGGCAAGGCCCTACTGAGGTGGATGGCGCAAGGCGTCCATCCTCTGGAGGAGCGCAGTATGTTTCTGGGAATGGGCTGATTTGTTTTTGTATTCCTTTAATAAGTATAGTTGCGATTTCTCATATGACCATTAAGTATGAAGGAAAAATCATGACTTTCCCAATTAATGCAACTACTTCTAAAGCATAGATCTGTTTGCTCTAAATGCAATGATTCAGCTGTGGAGTGTAAATTGTTAATGTCTAAAGAAAAACTCCCTGTATTCCTGTCAAGGAAGTTTTTGAGAAATTAAATTAAAATCTAGAGAAGAAAAATTAATGTTAAGAAGATAGATTAGTGCTTAGTACTGGACAACTTGTTCTTGTTCCTGTGCACAATGGTTTGTGCTCTTACTTTTGTTTGATTAAAAGTAATAACAAATCAACTACTTGCCGTAACCATGGCACCGGTTCCAGTCAGTAAGTCAAGAAAGATTAGTCAAGGTATAGGCCAATAGTTTGGGACATTTCTAACTATTATTAAAAGTTAACTAAGCAGAAACAGCTCAAAGCAAAACTCGAACTGAAAGTACAAATGCTTGCTTATGCATAAGCCAAGATACATTCTTCTATTCTAATTGTAGCTACGTAATATTTTTTTTCTTTGAATAATGATTCCTGTTTTGTAACCACAAAGTACTGTAAGCCTGCCAAAATGAAAAGTATATATGATCAACTTCACAAGTAAAGATTGGGATCAACACCTTCACTTTGGTGTCTGTGTTGTTTCTCCACCCCCTCTTTCACCGACTCCTCACCATCCGTTCGTCTCCTGAGACCCCCTGTTGGAGCTGGTCTCCGACAAAAAATAAACAAATATGGATGGAAATACAAATCATGTCTCAATAATAACCCTGAATGTTAATGGATTAAATTCACCAATCAAAAGACACAGGCTAGCAGACTGGATTAAAAAAAGAAGACCCAACAATAAGCTGCCTCCAGGAGACTCATCTGATAAGAAAATACTTACACAGACTGAAGGTGAATGGTCAGGAAAAAATCATACCACTCACGTGGACTGTGGAAGCAAGCAGGGGTTTCCATCCTTGTATCAAATAAAGTAGACTTCAAGCCAAAGTTAACAAAAGGGATAAAGATGGATATTACATACTGCTCAAGGGAACCATACACCAACAAGACATAACAATCATAAATATATATATATATATATGCATGCCCAAAACAATGGTTCAGCTATGTTTATCAAACAAATTCTTCTCAAGTTCAAGAGTCAAATTGTCCACAACACAATAATCTTGGGTGACTTTAACACACCTCTCTCACCACTGGATAGATCTTCCAAACAAAAGTTGAATAAAGAAACTATAGAACTCAATAATACAATCAATAAAATAGACTTATCTGACATATAAAGAGTATTTCAACCTACATCAAGCAATTACATTTTTTTCTTAGCAGCACATGGATCCTTCTTTAAAATAGACCATATAATATGTCACAAAAAAATCTTAGCAAATACAAAAAAGTAAAGATACTATCATGCATTTAATCAGATCATAATGGAATGAAATTGGAAATCAATGACAAAATAAAAAATTTCTCCATCACCTGGAGACTAAACAATATGCTACTGAATGAACAATGGGTTACAGAAGACATCATGGAGAAGATTAAAAAATTCTTAGAGGTAAATGAGAATATAGACACAATATATCAAAATCTCTGAAACACTATGAAAGCAGTATTAAGAGAAAAATTCATTGCATGGAGTTCATTCCTTAAAAGAAGAAAAAGTCAACAAATAAATGACCTCATACTACATCTCAAAGCCCTAGAAAAAGAAGAACAAGTCAGCATCAAAAGCAGTAGAAGGAAAAAATAATAATTAAAATTAGAGAAGAAATCAATGAAATTGAAACAAAAGCAATTGAAAAGTTGACAAAACAAAAAGTTGGTTCTTTGGAAAAAACAAATAAAATTGACAGACCCTTAACTATGCTAATGAAGGAAGGAGAGAGAAAACTCAAATTACCAGCATACCTGTTGAAAAAAGCAGGGAAATGGATGGCACTAGAGCAGATTATGCTTAGTGAAGCTAGTCAATCCCTAAAAAGCAAATACCAAATGTCTTCTTTGATATAATGAGAGCAACTATGAACAGAGCAAGGAAGAAGAGCAGGAAGAAAAGACTAAATTTTACCGAGGCATTAGGTGGGGGGGGTAGGGAGAGAAAAGGGAAATTGCATGGAAATGAAGGGAGACCCTCATTGCTATACAAAATTACATATAAGAGGTTGTGAGGGGAATGGGAAAATAAACAAGGAGAGTAATGAATTACAGTAGATGGGGTAGAGAGAGAAGAAGGGAGGGGAGGGGAGGGGAGGGGGGATAGTAGGGGATAGGAAAGGTAGCAGAATACAACAATTACTAATTGGGCATTATGTAAAAATGTGGATGTATAACCGACGTGATTCTGCAATCTGCATTTGGGGTAAAATTGGGAGTTCATAACCCACTTCAATCTAATGTATGAAATATGATATGTCAAGAGCTTTGTAATGTTGTGAACAACCAATAAAAAAAAATTAAAAAAAAAAAAAAGAAAAAAGTGATATCACAACAGACACTACAGAAATACAGAGGATAATTAGAAATTATTTTGAAAACTTATACTCCAATAAAATAGAAGACATTGAAGGCATCGACAAATTTCTTAAGTTACACGATTTGCTCAGATTGAATCAGAAAGATATACACAATTTAAACAGACCAATATTAATGATGAAAGAGAAGACACCATCAGAAATTTACCAACCAAGAAAAGCCCAGGACCAGATGGATACACAGCCAAGTTCTACAAGACCTTTAAAGAAGAACTAATACCAATACTCTATGATCTATTTCAGGAAACA